GGTCTACAGGGTCTCACTACACAGATTGAACTCGAGTGATCCTCCTGTTCTCAGCCTCCTAAGTACTAGGATTACAGGCATGCACCACCATGACCAGTCTCAGTCGCCATCTCAGCATGCCCTGGGAGTGGGGCCAGCACAGCAGGCTGGGGATCAAGCCCCAGTCACTGCGCCTGCCTAAGTAGGCATTTTAGTCCACTGAGCTATCTGGCTGGCCCCTAACATTCCTTTTTCTTTTACTATAGACCATAAGCTTTTTTTTTTTTTTTTTAGGCAGGGTCTTGTTATGCAGTTCAAGCTGGCCCAGAATTTACTATGTAACCCAGGCTGGTCTCCCAACTCAGCAGTCCTCCGGCCTTGGCCTCCCGAGTGCTGGGATTAAAGATGTGCGTCACCATACATGGCTGACCATAAACTTCTGTGGGCAGGGAACATTTGTGGAATCTGGAACCCACCCTGTCTTGTGTCCCTTAGGATGGAGTCCACAGAGAAGTGCGAAGCTATCATTACCCAGTTTAATGGAAAATATATTAAGACGCCCCCCGGGGTTCCAGGTGAGGCATCTGGGGGGGTTGAGAGCCGGCTTGGTGAGGACAGGGAGCTCCGCGTGAGGCTGTCAGTGGGACTCAGCTCACTCTGCTTTCCTCCACCAGCCCCGACTGATCCCTTGCTCTGCAAATTTGCTGATGGTGGGCCAAAGAAGCGACAGAATCAAGGAAAATTTGTGCAAAATGGGCGGGCCTGGCCCAGGAACGGAGACATGGTGAGAGGACCTCCACAGGGACTGGGACATGGGGACATAGAGTGGAGCGGAAGTGACCGTAGTTCCTCAAGCTCAGGTGCCCTGCCTGGCCTCCCCTCTGCTAGGGCAGCATGCATGGCCAGCAGAACCCTGGGAGCAGCTGCCCTGGGGCTCGTCCAGACTTAATCTGTGGAAGTAAAGACACCCCAGATCTGGCATTCTGGGCTGCTCCTGCCCTCATCCAGGCACTTGCGCTGTGAATGCTGTGTTCTTTCTTCACAGGGTGGAATGGCCTTAACCTATGACCCCGCCTCAGCGCTTCAGAATGGGTAAGGGTGTTTAATAGAATCGGGGCACCTGAATGTGACAACGGCCCATGTTCAGGTACTTAGATGTTTCATCTTAATTTTTTTTTTTTTTTTTTTTT